CAGCTCCTGGAGCTACGAGTTGTTCTTCATACCTGGCACATTTCCCAGGATGCACACGTGGTGGTCGTTAGGGGTGAGTGAAGCGACAACGTCGATGAGGAAGCGCATGATCTCGAGCTCAAAGTTACAGACAGGGAGGTCGAAATTTGACACGCAACCAGCATATCTCGAACGGGATTAGTCAATTAACAACCAATCAACGTTGAAGTACACTTCAACACCTACTGGATGCAATTTGTCCAATCAGATACCGAAAATCGCTGCGTAGATTCATCACACCCTGTTGCGATCTACAGCTCCGCCAGTCGCTCCCCATCCAGTCCGTGTCGGTGCCGTAAACCTACCTGCTGATGTGATCACGTGGTTGCGCGTGTGTGTGGCGCAAGACGTCTTGGTGGCACCCATCGCAAGTGCTAAATCCGCCCTTTCAGCACTTGCAATGGGTGCTACCAAGAGTCTTGGTAGCGTTGGCCCACCAAGAGCAGCCACGGCATTGCAACCCAGCCGAGCGCACAACATAATGTTAGCTGCAAGGGGAGAACCACATTGGAAATAGTAGGAGTGAACTCATTAGTACACAATTCTCGGAACAGCATCACACAAAGCTCTACATAATTCAAAGTCCAAACAGTTCAAAATTGTAACCTCTTCTGCCAGTGTTATAGCCAATCGTGTGTAAGAAATAAGGTGTGATGGGACTCTGATTGGATATTAAAAAGGAGCAAGGTGGCTCACCTTGCGAATTCCATTAACAAGTCAATCTATTTTCATAAATTCAACAATTTCGTTAATATTACTTCGAAGTACAATGGTAGTGTCTGTGCTACCAGTACTATTGATATTTGTAGTACGTTCCAATTTCGCAGCTTCGGGCCCCCACAGTAGGGCCAGTTCGAAGTAGATTGACCTAAAGTGTCAAAAATGCGTGCGAAGTAGTATTGATTGTCCACGGACATTAAATTTTTACTCATTGTTTGTTCGGTGTGCAGGGTAACCCGGAGTCCACCAGGAGGTATTTGACGTCCGGGTCAAAAGAAAATATGTTCCGGCGACTCGGAGTGATTTGATTGGTCAAGTCTCTGGAAATTCTTCGGTACTTCGTACTGGGCCTGAAGGAAAAAAGGATGGAGATGATGGAGTGAATTCCCCCTTTACGTCAACTACGCTCTTCGCTTCGTGGTCCAATGAATGAAGCTAAAAATCTACTTTAAAGAAGATTGCTACATTCTTCAATGATTTACTACTGTATAAAGCTATCTAATGTTTAGATGTAAATTGAATAAAAGGCTACAAGATACGGTTCAAAGTTGTTCAAGCTATACCTTAGCTTTAGTTGAAATTATAATTTATAAAAGAGTTCAAATTTCTTGTTTTGTAGTATAGTAGTTTTTAACTTTAGATATAGCTTATCAAAACTCAGCTACACCAAAACAAGAAATTAGAAAGTTCAACTTTAGTTAAATTTATATCGTAAGACGTAGCACATCCTTCGTGAAACTCAGCTACAACAAAACAAGAGATTGAGAAGTTTAACTTTAGATACAACTAATCCCCGCCTGGTCACCGAATAAAAATTTGAAGCCATATAGTTAGGAATCCATCCCCGGCTGGTAACCAAATTAATTTTGAAGTCTAATTAATTTTATATTATCTTTCTTTACTTTAGATACTAATTCATTTGAAAGTTATTTATTTTTAATCTAAAGATAACATATAATATATAGTATAAGAAACTCAATAGCAAAAAGCAAATGACAGACTTAGAACAAATCAACGATGAATATCTCGAATTAGTGAATAAGTCGAATTGTTCATCCGGCTCTCGAAATGTTATCATAATTACAAAAAAATCAGAGGATGAAGTTTTTCAATTAATAAACTCAACCACAAAAACTGGACGAAGAATTATTGTAACAAAGAAAGTAAAAACAGTTAATGATGTAAATATTATTGAGCTAAAGTTTAAATCAGTTATTAAAGAAGCAAATTGCAAAAATTCTTTGAATATGTTATTGTTCATACCGGATATATTCGCGAAGATACAATGATTGATGAATCAAATGACGACAGAACGGAACAATACTATAAAAAACATTGTTTGGATAATAATGTTAAGCTCGTCGATTTTTTCAATTTATCAAAACGAGACTTTTTCAAAAAGTATAATAAGGTTACACTAACCGACAAATACATTGAAGCAGTGAATGTCTATCATGATCTTAAACGTATTGAAGATATTGAAAAAAGTTATGACGACGTAGTGTTTAAGCCATTTCAAACGACAGTATTAAATATTTTAAAAACACAACCACAGGAAAGAAATGTATATATTGATTGTGCAAGATTTAATAGGAAACATTGGCAAGTCATTTTTAACAAAATATATAAATGTTATGTATAGCGTTTTGTTAGTACAAGGTAAAGCTGATAATATTTATTACTTATTATCTGAGATGGTAAAAGGAGGTTTAGATCCTCATGCATGCATACTAGATATTCCTAGAGAAAGTGAAAATTATTTGCAATATTCAACTATTGAAACGTTAAAAAATGGATTGACAAATTCAGGTAAATACAA